TTCAGCAGAAGTCATTGAATGAAAGATGATAAAGTGTCGGAAACATGCACAAAGGACTGGTTCTGTAAAAGCCCTGACAGAGGCTCAAGGAAGACAGACCTCTGGGTGACTATTCTGCAAGATCCAGCGAGCTCCCAGTGTTACAGACAACATCCCAACTGCCATTTCCACCTAAACAGAGATAAAAAAATAAATCCATCTTTACTTTGAAAACTTTACAGCAGAAAGTACTGTCATGAAGAAAGATTGGCCTTTTGAGTTTGACCAATCTGATAGATAGAAATTATGTTCTTTGAAACTAATAATTGAGTTTCTTTGTATAAGACAAATACCATGTCTATAAATAGCCTGTGGGACAATACTCAGTGATGCTATGCTGGAGTGTAACCGAGCAACTGAAGAGTCAGAAAAAGAGAATTTTAAACAGGACTTTTTTTTTTCTTTGCAGTAAAGCTATTTTCATATTATTTTATTGGATATCTTTTAATATGAGATTTACGTTCAAGTTAAAAAAAAAAACTATCAAACAGTCAGTTTATTCTAAAATGGAAGTTTTTAGAAAGCTTTTTTAATTCTGTCCAGTGAAGTCTTTGTGTCTCATAATTCTAGATAATTGGTTGCCCTATTAGCACTATGGGATAGAAAAGCACCCCCCATTTCTGTTAGGAGTATGGAAGTTCCCCGTAAGCTATGAATTTGAAGATATGGATATCTAGAGCTTTGCCAAAGCACAGTAAAATAAAACTTCTGTAGAGCACGTTACAAGGTAATAATAACGAATCAATAAACCTCTTGAATGCATAAAGAACGGGCTGGGAGCGAAACAGATGACGCTAAGTTACAAGATCATTTTAACAAAATTAAAATAATTTAAACAAATACATATAGTCCAGTAAGAAGGTGTGACAAGCTGTGGTCTCAAAAAGGCAACTGCCAACAGACTGCTTACCCGTCTGCAATCAAGTTGCATACGCTCCTATACACATCAAACAAGTTTTCAGTACCACCCGGTGGCCCAGAAAGGAGAGGATGGCCAAGAGTCAGTTGAAGGACACTGCAGCCACCTGCAAGTTATTTTTCTTTCCAGAGTGTTGTGAATCTCCAGGGTTATTTTATTATATTATTAGGAGAAGCAGCTTATTAACTGGAATCAAAACCTGACCCAAATAATTCTCAGTAACTGATTAGTGCTCTACTTGGACTGAGCTGAAGCGGCAGCCGTTTCAAGGCTGAGTCCCCGTTTATGCAGCAAGTTGCAATTGCCAGAGCAGCACTACTGTGCTAAAAGGCTACAGTAAATCCTAAAATCCCTCTATTTCATCAGGCTCTTCTCCACTTCCACAGACCTGATTCCTGCTCACTTTCAAAAATTGCCCAAACTAGTCTGAGAAATCTCCAAATCTGCTTCGTGCATTTACAATAGCTGTGTCACACCCGGGTTCCGTAGCACAGGACTGTCGAGCGGCATTCTGAACTGGACTGTTTGGCTCAGAGCAACCCACAAAGCTAGCGCAGAGTCTGCATCAATCTGTGAGCAGCCCAGGGTGACACTGCAGCGTCCTTGCTTTGGTGATGAGTCATCCTAACAGGTTATGTCACCCTGTCTCCTCACACAACCCCAAAACCCCGCTGGCCCGACACGCTGCGCAGTTGCACTGCCTGGGCCTCGTCTGTCCTCCCTCCTCTCCTCCCCAGCTCTGCTCGCACAGGGCAAATGCCGACCTGCCCCTTGAGAACTCCCGAACCTGAAATGCAGCTTCACTCCAGGGAACCACCGTGCGCCCCGTAAGGGCTTACAGGGTCTGGCAGGGTCTGGCATACCGTGGGACTCATGCCCAACCAAGCTACAGCTCTACTTCTTCTGACTACTTTGCAATACCCAACACTCTCTGCTGCTTTCCTTACCAGTGGATCTAAGGTCTGTGCTTTCTCCTGTCCCAAACTATCTCCAAAATAAGGTGTTGGGACCCGGTACCAATCAAAGCAGCACATCCACTTAGATCTAAGCACAAGCTGATCGTTTCTGACCAGGAACATCACTGTTGGGAGTCTCAGACCCTCCTCAACAGAAATTCTTCAACAGGGCTGTCTTCTGCTCGTCATGACTTCATTAGTCATTACACTTTCCACCGTCCGGGATCTGAAGGGACTCACGTCTCTGACTGCAGTTCTGTTGTGGCACAGCTATTCTGCAGCTTTCCTTTCCAAAGGGGGTGGAACGTGCAAAGCAGAGTTACCCTGAAAACACTTAGGGAGCTTCCCCCGGTATTTCTCCCCATTGTGAGCACAACACTGATCAGACGTCGCTGTACGTACAGCCCTGAGAGATAAGGGCTGCCTGTCAAATAATGCAGGCAGCTGTAATACACTGATGATTATGTATAGGCTGCCTTCACAATGAGCTGAAATGTAGGCAATGAACTTTTTCCCCCTCCCCTTCCCTGTATCATAGCAACTGTGCTACTGCAGGGGCTATTTTAAGAACAGTAACTTTTCACCAAACGTGATTATGAGGCAGACTGAGTGAGCTCAGCGTACAAAAATACTGCATCCCTTCCGCAGCATCTCTGGGCCAAAATCTGATACCCTTACCCAAAAGCACAATAAATTACTCTGCAGATTGTCCAAACAGTATTAAAAAGGAGTAGCTGCGAATGCTAGCTATTTTAAATCAATGCTCAAGAAACTTGTCATGATATCATTGCCAGAAAACCCAGCCCTGTCAGGAGCTTCCAGAAAGGAGTGTCTCGGGCTGAGAAATACAAGTCAGGAGGTCAGGGTGGAAGCAGACATGTCCGTCAGCACGGAGCGCTGGCTAGAGCGGGAAGTAATTGCATTAGTTTGCAGCAGTGATGTAGATCTTCTAAATTCTGAGAGAGTGGTGAAGTAAAAGGATAGTTTGTATTCTGAGGACTCTTGCCTGTATAGGAGAATACTAGAAAAGCTTCAGTCATCAAGATGCGTACAGCTGCAGGGATCACTGCACAAAAATCCTTCAGAGTAAGCAAAGGGAGCAGTTTCTGGGTCTGCACCAAGAGGGATTTGAATTTCTGATCAGCTCAATCATACAGGACACACTTTTCAAAGCTGAGTAACTAAAACTATGCTGAAAGCCTACAGCTTGGTAGGGAATATTAGCAGCCCTGTCTTCGGTAAGGCTCTGGCATCGCTGCTGGGGCGACGGCAGCGTGTCCTGCACGGAGCTCGACACAGCTCAGACATGTCAGACCAACCTGTGCACGTGCTGCACCATGGGCTCTGCTCGTGCAAGGAATTGCTTCCTCCCAGAGACCTCCGATCTCCCATGGGTGTGCTCATCGCCCACAGAGCAGGTGCTTCCAGGGTGCAATGGCCATCCTGTACCTGCACAACGGCCATGTCCCCAGGCTGCTGGATGTCCACAGGAAAAGGGGCCTCGTTGAGAACACTAAGGGATATTAGTATCCAGACGGGCTGGTCTCCATAAGTTCTGCATATGGATGCTCAGCACTGTTAGAAATCAGGTGCTGCTCTAAGAAAACATCTCAGTCCCCCAAGCGCTAGCAGCCTTGAGACTTCTCAAGAGGTTAGCAGGGAGTTTCAGCTTTCACTGTTCATGCTTTAGTTAAAATTAAATTATTTGTTTTTTCAGATATCGAAGGCAAAGCCTGCACTGGTGATGATGCCACAAGAGCAATGCAGAGCGACCCTCCAGCTCCTGTGTGCCAGGCACTTGCCTCAGAAGAGGTGCAGCAAGAGAGTACCATAGCCACAATGGCTGTGACCTCGCTTGGTGAGGAGCTGCATTTGAATGAGCTGAAAGAAGATGCAGGTATGGGATATAAAATGTTTTCAAAAAATTACAAAATGTTAAAAAAATATTTCTGCTGAGCTGTTTTATGAGTCAAACATGTCAGTCCATTAAAGGGTCAGAGCACCTTGTTCAGCTCAGCCCATACTAGGTACTTAAAAACTGATTTTTGAGACTGCTACCAAACTGAGGGACTACACAAAGCTTGGCATAATGGGATTAGTTGGATTATGAGACGATTCAGTCTTGGCATAGTGCCTCTTTGGTATTAGCAGTGACTGCTGTGAAGATGAAACAAGCTTCTCTTAAAAACATTTCTTAAACTTCTGTGCCAAGCCTGAAATTGCTCGTCCTGGCTCAGGAGAACAGTGCCAATACACAGCCCACATTGTCCATATCATCACCCTGTCTATGACATGCTGCAAATACAAGTGAAGTTCAATACCAGGAGCACAGATAAGATAAACCAAGCTCCTTTCATGCAACTGTGTTCCAGGAGAGCTCATCCGTGACAACAGCTCCTTGGGACCAGAGCAGCCAGGCACAACCCAGCAGCTGGAGGGGTTCCATTCACTTCCTGGCAACCAAGACACACAAAGCTGCAGAGATAATGCTGTATCCTAGTTTGTGAGGACTGCCCCGTAGTGATTACAGATCTTCCTGGCCCTTCCCTCTGGTCAGTCTTCACACCTTCTCCATCTGCCCTGGTTGCCTTCTGCTCTCCATCCCACGCCTTTGTGCTCTGCTTTCTCTGGGGTCCCAGTCCCCAGCCACCCTCACCAAGCCCACCCCTGCCTGCTGCAGTTTGCTGAGCAGTGCTGCCTGCTTCTGCCCTCGCCCTGCTTCAGGACTTCAGAATGGAAATCATTCTCTGAAGGGTTTTCCATTTCTTTGCTTTAGCCTTTCCTACTTCCTTTTCCTCCTGTCCTTTCCATTCCCATGACTCATGCAATTTTGTTCCCTTTCCCTGTTTTGCTTTTATATAATACTGTTCATCTGGCCCATTTCTAGCTCCTCTCCACTCTTAATTGCTTTGACGACAGGAACTCTTCTGTCTCCCAAAAAGTATCTCTTGTCATGTTTGCTCATCACAAGGATTTTTTTGTAAGCTTAGCAAAACCTTTCGATCACCTTCTTCATTTCAACTACATGTGTTATTTCATCACAAAATGTCCCAAAGGACTGTAGGTGGACTTCTAAAGATTTTGCCTCTCCCTTTTTTGTCTCTTAAAATAGAGACAAAATAGAGAATTGGGCAGAGACAGCTTCTATTAATACAACCGTTAATGCTGTTTTCTTCTCTTCAAACTCTATCCTTTATGGCTGTGTTTGCTTTTGTATCACCCTAAAAATTAATTGAGGCAAAAACCATTCATCTCCCTGTTCTTAGAACAACCAGAGTAAAATCTTGACCAGAATCATAGAATCATTTGGGTTGGAAGAGACCTTTAAAGGCCATCTAGCCCAACCCCCTGCCATGGACAGGGACATCTTCAACTAGATCAGGTTGCTCAGAGCCCCATCCAACCTGGCCTTGAACATTTCCAGGGATGGGGCAGCCACCACCTCTCTGGGCAACCTGGGCCAGTGTCTCACTACCCCCAGCATAAAAAAAATTCTTCCTTATGTCTAGTCTAAATCTACCCTCTTTTAGTTTAAAACCGTTACCCACAACAGGTCCTGCTAAACTTTGTCCCCACCTTTCCTATAGGCCCCTTTAAGTACTGGAAGGTCACAATAAGGTCTCCCCAGAGCTTTCTCCAGCCTGAACAACCCCAACTCTCTCAGCCTGTCCTCATAGGAGGGGTGCTCCAGCCCTCTTCGTGGCCTCCGCTGGACAAGCTCCAACATGTCCATGTCTTTCCTGTGCTGAGGGCCCCAGAACTGGACACAGTACTCCAGGTGGGGTCTCATGAGAGCGTAATAGAGGGGCAGAATCCCCTCCCTCACCCTGCTGGCCACACTTCTTTTGATGCAGCCCAGGATGCGGTTGGTTTTCTGGTCTGCGAGCGTACATTGTCAGCTGACGTCCAGCTTTTCATCCGCCAGTACCCCCAAGTCTTTCTCCTCAGAGCTGCTCTCAATCCCTTCATCCTCCAGCCTGTATTGATACTGGGGGTTGCCCTGACCCAGGTGCAAGACCCTGCACTTGGGCTTGTTGAGCCTCATGAGGTTCACACAGGCCCACTTCTTGAGCTTGTCCTGGTCCCTCTGGATAGCATCCCTCTCCTCCAGCGTGTTGACTGCTCCACACAGCTCGGTGTCATTGGAAAACTTGATGAGGGTGCACTCAATGCCACCATCCATGTCACCAACAAAGATGTTGAACAGCACTGGTCCCAGTACTGACCCCTGAGGAACACCCCTTGTCACTGCTGGCCACTTGGACATGGAGCCACTGACCGCAACTCTTTGAGTGCGAGCGTACAGCCAGTTCCTTATCCACTGAGTGGTCCGTTGGTGAAATCCCTGTCTCTCCAATTTAGAGACAAGGATGTCATGTGGAACAGTGTCAAATACTTTGCACAAGTCCAGGTAGATGACGTCCGTTGCTCTCCCCTTATCCACCAACACTGTAACACCATCGTAGAAGGACACCAAATTTGTCAGGCATGATTTGCCCTTAGTGAAGCCATGCTGGCTGCCACCAACCACCTCCTTATTTTCCATGTGCTTTAGCAGAGTTTCCAGGAGCATCTGCTCCATGATCTTGCTGGGCAGAGGTGAGACTGATATGTGCTGTTGTTACCAGAAACAACCACAGAAAAAAAAAAAAAAAACGACGCAAACCATTTTTTGCAGGGAATGTAAAATGGACATTCTTTAGATAGCCGTGCACAGTGCCAGTTTGTTTTTGTGATACCACCCTCTGAACAAGATGGAGTTCAGAAACAAAAGATGTGTTTGAGGATGAGTGTGTTTTGGATCCACCTTCTTATAGGAAAGGTCCCACTACAGCTGCTACTCTGCATGTGTGCCACGCAGCACTTCATGTCATGGGGAGGTCTACTGATTTCAGTGAAGTCACTGCCAGAAGAAAGTATCGCTCTACCCAGGGGAATGCACTGAAATCTAACTAATTTTCCTACCAAGCTACTAACACCTACTGGAGCTCTTGATATTTCTGTAATGTAACCCATTAGTGACTTAAATTTTCTCTTCCTGTATTCAACATTTTGTCTTCTATGCAGTAGGCAGAAAAATACCAAGTGATGTCAGCCTGGAACAAAGCAATTCCCTACTGTATATTTAAAAGAAAATTATTACCTTACATAATTCAGGCAACTATCACATACCGTGGCTTTCCTATCAGGCCAAATTTCACAAGGATCCCTGTCGGGGATGCATATTTATTCTATTTTCCTGTCTTTTTTGAATGATAAATACTCATTCCTCCTTTTCTAGGCATACTCATTAATCTGTTTTGTCAACAAATTAAATGCTATTATCTTGCCAATGCTATTGTTTCCAACTGCCTAAGTGCTCTGGTGCCTCCCCATGCACTTGGAACACGAGGATGCTGAATGTTCATTAATACAGAGAATTTGTATTCTGAAGAAGACATAAAACCGAGCCAAGAAAAGATTTGTGACGTGACAGCTGTGGGTGCTCACTGGTGTGAGTTTTCAGGAGATGCCCTAGAATGGTTTGGAGCGAAAGGTACTTTGTTTAGACAATCCAGAATGCTAAAAAGAGTGGGATTTGCCATTTATCCAGCCCAAGCAGTTTGGACTTCTCTCATGCTGAGGAGAAACTGAAACACTGATCTCCCCATTTGGATGACTGCTTCACTTGCTAGGGTTAGAAAAATAACCCTCATGGCTACTACTGAGCCCGCAGTGGCTGGAAATGCAGCTTGGAGAGAGCCTGGCTGTGGCTGGTGTCCTCGATCAGAGTCAGGCTCAAGCTTCTCTGTGGGTCCCCACGTATGCCAAGGCAGAGATCAGGGCGTGTGACAGAGTGTGAAAAACAGTGAGGCACTGTGTGAGTTTAAGCACTGCTAGAGTCAGCTGGTATCTGGGCAGTATTCAAGGATGCTAATTTTAGACTTCGTCACTGAAATTCCCCCTATGTCCTGCTTCAGCTTCATGCCTTTCTGGATCTATTCTCCTGTGCCCTCATCACAGCCAGGTCAATTTGAAGAACTGCTCAGTGACTCAGCCTGCAATAACTTTAAGAGCTAAGTGCTTTTGCCATTTTTCAGGAGCCAATCCTGAAATGAGCACTGGTTCACCATCGCAAATTAAAGCTTTGGTGACTGAAGGTTTTCTTAAGTACTTCACCCATTCTCTGTTCCACACTAGTTTCTGGGATCCGTTGGCAAATCTTTTTTATGGCAGGCTTTTCTTGGCTGTCAACTTTAACCTCTGGAAAGACTCAACAGTTCTGGAGTCAGGTGCAGTAAGAGAAGACTTGGGATGCAAGTTAAGTCATGTATTAGATAAAATTAAATTGTGAAAATAAATGTGCACAACAAACGATTCGAAAGTCAGCTTTCATGTAATATTATTACATGATTCGCTTTACCCTTTGGCTGTGTGTTCCTAGCACAGACGAGTACTCACTCAGTAACTGTGCCACTGCAGCTGCATGCTGTAAGAAAATTCATTGCAGTTCTCAAAAGTTGCTTTGCTTTACTGTGTCCCTTATTAAAAAAAACAAAACAAAACAAAACAAAACAGAAAAAGGCTTTAGGGAAGTAAGGGAATTCAGCAGTTTTCTCAGGAACACCAAAACTAACATTTCTTCAATATCCTCATACATTTTATTCTTCACCAGCCTTGGCTGGTTGGCTATTTCACACAATAATTATTTTCACTATGGAAAAGAAGTGCTTCTAGCTGTGTGCCATGTGTTCTGTTTTTCTGAATGTTCCTGGCATTGTCCCCTGGCCTATCATTATTAAATTCATGTTCCATTAATTTTACTCATCTTCCTACTAGCCAAGAAACCTTCAGCACCCACGGAAGAATTAGAAGATGCCAGCCTGCCAGCATCTGAAGACAGTCCACAAGCCTTACTTGTATCTGAATCCACAGATTCCCCCCAGAAACAGACGGAAAGAAACCCAGCACAGCTTCCCAGCCCTCCGTTGCTCCCAGCTCCACCACCTAAGGCAATCTCCAAAATCACAAAGAGTGTAACAGGTCAGTCATTACTGGTCAGTAAAGGCTTTCCCATCCTTTACGTGTTGTTCGCCTACACAGCATTTTTTTTCTTGCATCCCTTTTTAAGCCCGTTGCCGCAAACTGCTGTGAATCAGGCTAGTTATGTTGAGTGAACAGAATGCTAATGATTTCCATAAACTGAGTGGTCCAGTTGCCTGATAACAATGCACTGATCTTTGTACTTCACATATTTATCTGAATCTCTCAGGGGATTATTTGTTGCCAGTCTAGTGCACTAAACACATGTCAAACAAATCAAACCAACTGCAAACATCTGCTGAATCAGGTGCTTATATCGATATGTCAGAAAACACAGGAAGATTTAAATGTTTTCATTACCTAGACTCCCGCTGGATAACAGTACAACAGCCCAAACCAGGTTCAAGTCCATAGGTTCTGTAGAGGTTTCTGTCTGAAGGGTTTGCTCTCTAGGGTAGGTCTAAACGAGAGCTACGAAATCTGGTCTAGTTACCCAGAACACACATAAGTGACACACCTGGCTCCTACAAAGCAATCCTCCATGCCAGACTTCGTTGAATGTTTCAAGAGGAATTCCCCTGGGCCTGATTTTCTAATGTATTGCCAATGTTGTTACATTTTCCAACATTCTGGCACTGCAGAAAGGGTTTGTTCTGATTTTTGGGCCCCTACATATGGTAAAAGCAGTTAAAGGGGCCTTATTGCAAATTAGAATCAAGTCCTAAATGTCAGACCAGTTGGATATTTAGACTTTTAAATGACAGCCATCATCTCAGCCCTGATTTGCATCCACACTCATCTACTGGTGCAAAGAATAGGGTTTTCAAAGTCACCAGGAAGCAAAATATCAGAGGGGCATTGTGAGCTGACCACTGGGGGTCATAGAAAATATTGGTCTTTTCAGTGTTTTCGAGTAAAATTACAAGTATTTGTTTCCCCTGGAAAACACCCATATTTTGCCCATGCAAAAAAGCTGTAAGGGGCTAAGTGGGAGCTGGCTTCAAAATGGTATCATAATGCTTCTTGGGAGCTGCTGTTCAGATTGCTTCAACATTCCCTGTTAGGAGTGGGCTCTAGCCTGCCCCTTCCACCATGCAGCACGAACAGACACAACCAGGACAGCCCTTTGACTTTGCTCCGCTGATGAGCAGGCCATGCCCTGCATGAGATGTTGGCTATTTGGAAAACCTGACCCATAGAGGGGAACAGGATTACAGCTCCACCAGGTACTTCGCTGCTTTTTGAGTCTAGATATTTTGCTGCTTAACGAAAGCCTTTTCCTAACATCCAAGATACTTTGAGTTTTGTTATTTCATTCTCACCTAAATTTTCCACAAAGAACAACTGTTAGTTTTCTCAATGACTCCAATAACTATAGACCCTTTATCAATAGTGAGTACACATTTGTTTATTTTTGTGTGGACATGGAGGCAGTAGGAAGTTAAGACTAAACAAATACTGTCAATGAGTGAAAGGGAATACAAATGTATGGGGAGAGAGAAACAAAGAGCAATTATGAAAGAAAAGGAAGATGAAGAGGTTAAAAAGCTCTTTTGTATTTCATTTTTCCCCTTAACAATGTTAGAGATGCTGTTAGCAGAGGAATGAGGAATAAGCCAAGCACCAATTAATCACAGAGAGAGGGGGAACAGGGCAAGGTGCCAAGACATCACTTTGCAAGATTATTCACAGAACAGCTGTCATTAGGACAAATAAGGTGTGATCTAAGGAAACTCTCAATATTGGCCCAAGCTGCAACGAGGACAGAACTGGCCCTTGACCTGTTCCAGGAACAAGCAGGTAAAAGATAAAACAGTATCCTCCCTTCCTGCTTTAGGGTTGAACTGAATGCAGGGATCTTCCTCTGAGAAAACACGGACACCCTCTCTCACTGTGCAGCAGTATAAAGTGGCTTAAGAGTTGGTTTTTTCATCCCCTCAGGCCATAATTTAATGGGAAATAATCGATCATAAATGTCCTCTGTGCATCTTCAGAGAAGCACATAATCAAAATCCCCTTAAGTGCTGAAAAGACATCTTTGCTTAGCAGGGGTTGGCTGTCTTCTGGCCACAGCAACCATCCTGATCAGCGCAGGAGGAGCTCCGGGGTGAGAGGGTGTCTCATTGCCAAGACATTGCTCACTGGGCACCTAGACACTTGAGGAAATGCCCTTACGCTTTCAGACATTTTCAGATTTTAAGTAGTGTAACTTTCAGACTACCTTGACCCCTGTCACCTGGATGCATAGAGAGATGAATGAAGCTCTGGCCATTAGGGTTCTGGGTTTCATCGGAGAGAAATGTGCAAAAATACCTTCCAAAAATGAAGAAAATAATGTTAGATCTTTCTTGGAATAACAGAGAAGATTGTCATATGGATGTAACTCTCCTCACAGAAGGAGAAATGTGAAAATGAGACCAGGCTTAATGTTGCCACTCAAAAAAATTTTCGATGTTTGATTTTGGTTATGGCTACAGGAGCTCTCCTTCCCACTTGTGCTTTTGCTATTGCTCTCAGAAATTCTGCTCTCCAGATGCCCAGCTCTGTTTCCAGTGCCACCCTTACAGAACTGTACCAGATTTCCAGCAGTGAACTTAAGAAAAGGCATGTACCAGTGTAGTTGGTAACCATCATGCAGGATGATGGGTCTGATAGGAAACATTTAATAACTGAAGCTGATAACCAAACCTATTTTCATCCTCTCCAGTTTTCTAGTAAGTTACTGTGCTAATAGGAACCGGGCCCTTTTCACATGGGTATTTCAGGGTATTCCTGGCCTGAGCAGAAGTTTTTCTCTGCTATCAACTGAAGTATTTATCTCAAAAGGAAGTGAAAAAAGTAAAAATGATCTGTGAAAACAAGTTTGTACGAAAGCCATACAAGCTGTGTCAGTTTAAATTCCTGTTTAAAACACTAGGTGGCAACAAGAGAAAAGAAATACTCGCCTGTATGAAGAACTTGGATTGCCTTTTTACACCCAGACTGAGCTATTGGTGTAAACAACGCCATATGCCAGAGGCTTGGGATGGAGATATAAGGGAAAGCAGAAAGGGGAAGAGAACTGCAGAGCAGAAAAACTAATCAGCATCTTTTTTCAGGCCAGATGTTCAGTTATCTTAAAAGTCTAAACCTATGAAATTTACAACCAGCGAAATGCCCACTGTGTTTTGGACTCCGGTGCTGGGGAAATGTATACATCAAAGGCTATTTTCCAAGAAAATGCTTACATGGCATAAAAAATATCTGAATCTGGGGGTAAAAAATGATTAGATTGTCCCACCTTTCTTTTCTCTTCTTAGTGCTCAATACACATCTTTCATTTGGATTTCATCTGACAAGTTTTTTTATGCGAACATTACCCTCATATTATAATGATTTTGGCATTTCCTCAACTGGCATGTGAAAGACAGAGGTCTAAGCTGTGCAGCAATCACAGAGGAGCAGATAATGATACCGGTACATTCTGTCCTGACTGAGAACCACAGTGCATAAATTTTAATACAGTCTGCCAGAGTCCAGCAGAGAAAGTGCTAGATTGGAAAGCCACCGCAGTACCAGCCGTCGGTGTTTAGGAGGAACATACTGGCAATCAAGAATATATTGGTGGGCTGGGAGAAAGGAGAATCTGATACTGTGGGAAAGAGGGGAAATGGGGGAGGCATCTCTTTTTCTAGATGAAAGATCTCGATCTGTGTAGTATGAGCTGTTTGAATTCAGGTAGTTACTCAGCTTAACCAGTGACCTTCTAGCAAGAACAAAACATCACCATTTTCCTCTGTTCAATACAACAAATTAACTTCAGCACAGCCTCTGTGTGGAGGGAAAAAAAATAAAAGCGTTGCACAACCTCTTACCCTCTTGTGTTTTCACAGCAGGAAGCGAAATAGATGACCCAGCCATGAAATCTCCGCCTTCCACCATCCTGAAGAATTATGTCATTGTTGGTTCCTCCCAAATCTCAGGACAAGCTGCCCTCTTCCATCCCTCTGGCCAGAAAAGTTCAGATCCCCATGTCAGAGGACAGGTAACAACACCAACCGGTTCTCCTCACCTGGCTGCCGTCCACCTGCCTTTACCTCCCAGCAGAGTCATTGAAGAACTTCACAGGGCTCTGGCTACCAAACACCGGCAGGACAGGTACCTACAGCCTCTTGGCTATATGGGTGCATGAGGACAGTGATTCTACTAAATCATTTTTCTTGGTAAATGCCCCTAACCTGTTATTAGAATTTTATCTACTGCTACAGCTGGGGTTTGCCTTCCTCTTGGTGTCACTACTTTGAACATCCATTCCTGGTTCAAGTGCTTAATTTGGCAGTTACTTCAAAGTATGTTCTCCCTTTATAAGGAGGCTACTGTGACATGGAAGTAGCTTTTCAAACAGGTAGAATCAGTTGATAACCCTTGACCTGTTGCAAAAGAAAATCTCCCCACAAGATACCAAGTTAAAGTAGCTAAGGCAAATCCTGCTCTAAATATCAGTACTTTACATACGAGAAACGCTACTATTTCAGTGTATGTCTCTTGGCTTATATATGAGCATATACGGTACCCATTTTTAATACAAATGCTTGTGTGGAAGTACATTGGACGCTTTGTCTGGTTTTCATTATAAGGCCTCCTGTGTATTAGAGGAGGACAGAGATAACCTTTTCCATCACAGAGCTTTGGAGTTAAGTTGGTAACATTTCTCAATTCCGTAACAGCTATTGTCATGGGGAATAGATTCATACAATATTATTTCCAGGCCCTGTTAAACCTTTGTCATGGTCATAAAATATCAGAATGGTAATATTTCATGCCATGTATGTTTTATATTAGAAGGACGTGCTGTGTGGGGTTTTTTTAATCAGTATAGTATAGCATGTGGCTATATATCAAAGAAATACATGAGTCACTACCCTTCCATACCTTATTTTTATGACAGAGATAGGAAAGCAGATCCACATTAGCCATTCTCAACACAGTCTTGAGAATGCCATCCCGTGTCGTCCCATGTTGAACTCTCTGCCCTGGCCTTTATGAGCTACAGGACAACCTGCTCATTCTCATATAATGATAAGTTCTTCCTGTGGCAATAAAACAGTCTTTTGTAAAAACTGGGCTCTGCACCTTCCACCCACAGCTTCCATGGAAGAGAAAGCAAAGGCTCTCCAAAAAAAAGAGTGGATGTCCGTCCACCCAGAACATCTAGCATTGAGCGCAACAAAGAAAAGGAGAACTCACTGAGTTACAGCAGTGATTCAGAAAATAAGTGGAACTCAGTTAAAGAGTCGGATGAGAACAAAGAAAACATGATCATGAACTCAGAACTCAAGGAAGACTCTGTTTTTTATCAGGATGAGGAAGTTTTGAATGACTCCATTATTTCTGGTAAGGAAAGTCACTTATATTATAAAGATATACTATTGTAGCCTAACGGAATGCTCTAAACAAGGCAGCATGCAACAGAAAATACCGAGCAGTGTAAATTCCTCTATTGCCACATCAACTTTTTGAAGGAATCTTGGCGACAAGCTAAAGTTAGATTTGATTCATAGCTATTTGTCGTCGTGTTTGTCTTGCTAGATGCTGCACACTAAGATGAAATTTAGACTTATGCTGATAAGTCAATGTATTTGTATGCTTTACCCTTTCAGTTACTTATGTACCCTTTGTACCACTGTGTATGAATGGCAGCACTTGCAGACACCTCTCACTGTTGGCAGGCAAAGCTTTCTGTATACCCAGTGCCGTGCTGTGGATGTTTTGGAAGCATCCCATTTTAGGACTATTATCCCAGTGCAGTGATAGTACATTGAAAAGTGGAAGAGACCAATGAATCTAGGAAGGACTAACATGCAGGGAAAACATCTTAAAGAAGAAAGTTGCATCTCCATTTGGTCCATATTACCCTTTTTTTGAGACATATGGGGAATGCATTGTATAATCCTGAGCAATTATTTAAGTGGGCTTTGGCACAATAATAATTTCTCATTAGAAAATTCAGTTTTCATTCAAGTTTTTAATGTTCTCCATGTTAGCAGGACAAAGATTCAGCCTGAAATGAATCCTTCAATGTCTTCATCAATGCATTAAGAGAAGGCAGGAAGAGAAAAATTCATCAAATAATAAAATAATTGTTATAACAGATAAAGGATGAATTTTAAAATTCCTATTGGGAAGTATAAGCCAGCACACAAGAATCATCAGTTCTGCTACTGTGTCTTAAGACACCTAGCAACAGAATAGACAACTAAGAAAAGGCAAAACAAAAGAGAATTCCTTACATAATTGCTGTGCATGTAAGGATAACTTAAAAATCACCTTTCAAGTTCTGTCTTTCTTTTTTTCTGACTATGTGCTGTTTCTGATTATAAAAGTGGTCTCCTTTGGTATAAATTGTAAGAGCTAGAATCAGCCAGGCAAAAAATATGTTATCCCCTACTAGTAAAAATAAATCTGAATATTTTACTGTGGGAGATGGATACTCTATGTATTTAACAAAATAATTATTCACTGCCTGTGAACACAGAAATTATGGTGATAGAAAGACATTAGTTATTGTACAAATTTCAGTGATATCTAGAAGCAGCTCTTGGCTTTCTACAAAAAGTGTTAAAATTCTGAAATATTTCTGTTTACTACAGTTGAGCAACAGTGTTGCTGTATTGATGATGGTTTAAGAATGGTTTAAATGCAGCAAGTGTTATAGACTAACTGATGTAAAAGCTGGATGGAAAAGCCTATAGGACTAATTGGTGAATGTAATGAGGTGGGGCTGATACATACTTGAATGTTTTAGTGATTAAGATTAATAGCCCAAATTTAAAATGTCAGGGGCCAGGACCACATACAGACCTACTTCCCCAGTTCTCGTGATAGTGTGCTAGTAATAGACGTGCACATGTAGATACACCCCTAAAACTTATCCAAGTCATCATAAGACTTGAGCTTTATGCATAAGATCATTTTCTTTAAGATGGCCAAAGATCATTGTGGATTGCCTTGTTCTTGCAGGTTGTAAATGTGCATTTTTACAAAAGACCTAATTTCTTGTACAAGCCTGGTGCTTGCTCTGCCGGTGCTCAGGTTCAGGCACATTTTAGGGGTGTGACAAAAACCCAGGCCACACAAAGTTTCAGCTGCCACGGCTGGGTACTTGGCAAGCTGGGCAACACGGTTGCTTAAACCACAGAAGTCGTGGTGCAGGGTGGTATAACCGCAGCCACGGAGAAGACAACAGCTTTGGGGATGTGACCGCTGCCCATTTACTCAGAGCAAGCTGGGACACAAGAAGGCATTTCTGGTCTTGACACTGGGTAGCACTGCTTGTGCCACCATTCATTCAAATGCTTCCATTTGCATTTCCCAGAGGAATGCGAGCTGCAGGAGTGACAGGGATAGCACCAAAATAATTCCCGAAAAACTCCGGGCTCTTTCTAGTTTAAAAAATCTGGGCTGGTTTGCGAGTCAGGAGGTAAAACTGTCCATTAATCCGAAGTTTTTTTACGATTACTGTACTGCCTTAGCACATCACCAACTTTGCCATTGTGATACAGAACAGTGCATCTGTGCAACAGCCCCACGGTTACAGGGAGGTTGGTACAGGTTACAGATAGCTCCGGAAAAAGTGAGGAATTGTACCTTGGCTTTCCATTAGCACCCTACTCCATAAATCATTCTTTGAAACCTCTAAAAACTCAAGGCAAGACAGTAGCCTTGTGCACGAGTTTAAAAAAATAACATAACTAGCATGTAGCCCACAACTGATAACTCGTGCAAGCACGGTCTCTCCATCAGCATGCAGCATTAGGATTTGCCTTTTGCTTGATAGAAAGAACAGTAAACATACAGGAAATTAAATGTCATGATTCAACTAAATTAAAACAGGAACTTTTGTCAGGAACCTGCAGACCAAGCATGAAAAGGGTGTGAATTTTCAAAGCATTTATTGTTGACCTACCTGAGCTGCCATAAATCTTGGAACAAGCCACAGCCAAGATCCTGCCTGAGATAGCTTGGCCATGGGACAGATCGGCGCTGAACCTGCCTTATTGACCAGGAAAAATAACCCTTAGGAAGAAAGTACTTGAATAAGGGTATTTGCAGGTTCAGTTTCCACTGAGATAGTGATCAGGGAGGAATCTGCCTCAGGGTGCTGAAAATGGATGTGGGGAAAACTAGTTTGGGGCTTTATTTCTTCTTTGTTCTTAGGTTTGATTCATTTGCTTATTAATTCTGAAACATCAGACATGGGTTTCTGCAGCACGTGGAATAACAGAACTGCCCATCAGTGGGCTGGTCAAGATGAAAACAGATGAACTACACAGTGTTTCCTGACATGTCTCCCCGAAGGGGGTAATATCATCTCCCTCTTTTCACTTTGTCGGGCAGGTATTATTTTTCAGGAATTAACCCAATTGGTCAGGCATGGGGAACAGCTCCTTAGACTAGCAGATCAGCTTAATCCAGATCTCTTGCATTTTTATTTGGTGAAATACCCTAAAGATTAATCAGTGCACAGTGCATATGGACCATGGGAGTGGCTATGGCATAAGCCTTTTAGAAATCCAGACATCTGGATGAAGTGAGCACAGCTTATCCTGAGTGGGTTATATGCTCTCCACTCCTCTAATACAACAGCAGGATTTGGGTTAAAGTTGAGATTTTTCAGACGTGATTTGTGTTTTTAATTTCACAAAGTAGTAGACTCTTTCTAAGTATGCAGCTGAACAGCCTGGGAGCAGTCAAGGCCTTGAAGAGCCACTTCATTTTACTTTGTTTCAAGCAAAACATTGCATTGTTCAGCCCCACTTTGAAATACCAGCCTCTAGGGCATACGCTGGGCTAGCTTAAGCCACTGTCTCCACATCAGCTTCAAAACCTGACTTCTGGCAAAAAGGTCCAGTCTTTTACCTGCAGAGCATGGGTTTCAGCTGGCTGTCAATGAGAGGAGGGAGAGCAGAAAATGAGCCCTGACCTCATCCGAGCAAATAATCAATGTGATTTTAGCGCTTGTCCTCCCACGATTCAAAGATCAGGTGTCGTATGGTATGGCAAGTAGTTTAATAACAGCCTGAAGGGAGATGGGGTAGTTCTGCATGCTCATGCCTTTGCTGTCACCGATGAATGGAAGAACAACCGTTTAGGGTGCATCTCTAAAAAAGTGTTGACTACACATGTAGAGTTCCCTTGTTTCCTTCTAAGCAGTCCTGGACAGAGATGTATGCCTGTGCTGTATAGTGCATGCATATATTGCTTCCAGCGTACCCAGGATGCACTGAACTGCCTGCAAATGCGCTGCGCAGATGGCCAGCACGTGGGCGGTACGTCTGTCGTGGTCTGGAGACATTGGGCTTAATGTGCACGTGCAGTCTCTCTGCAGCAATCTCCTGACATGACCAAATTCCTTTTACCGCCTGTTTAAAATTTCCAGGTGAAAATGAGAACATGTTCAGGGATACCCAGGAGCTTGCTAGCCCCAAACGTGCTTCAGATTGTTTCCGGAAGGAATTCTGTTGGTTCCTGTGCTGTACGGATCGAGCACTGCAAACGCCCACTCTGCACCCACTCCTGGTGAGGTGGAGGCTTGAAAAACCTTGACAGCGTCCCAAGCCCGTGGCTTCGTGAGCCGAATGTTTCTGACGGAGTCATATATTCAGTTGGCAGAAGGCTCTGTATGGCATCAGCCAAATCATTTAACTTCTTTACCCATCTGTTAAATGCATACCTACTACTTCAGAGGGCTGTGTGGTTTAATTTAATTAATGTTTGCAACAGACTTTGAAAGCATTAGGAGGAAGGTGTTAAACAAGGGCACAGCTTTTAGACTCTAAGCAGGGTTTTGAGCTGATGATGGTTTCTAAAAAGTTTAATTTTAGACCACTGCAACTATCAGGAGACTTGTCCCTGCTCACGCAGGGAGGCCGTAACTACTCTCTGCCCCAGCCTTCCCAACATGTACACATGGATGTGGTGTAGACTCCTCCCCTCTGCATAAAGAAATTCGAGATCAATAGTGATAATAATAATAATATAGGCACACAGAATCCTAGCAGATAAAGCTCCAATATTTGGGAATGAGAATCTGTTTAGGATTTAGTATCTTGCCAAGCTCCAGAGCATCCTTTAAAAAATAGACTTTAATCCTATCTCAAATGCCAAACAAAAATACCAATTAAATGTCATTTTCTTTAAAAATGAGATGACCTTTTCTAGAAAAGGTGAAACATTAAATAAAAAAACCCCAAACCTTTAAAGTAAAAAGGAACCAAACCAAAATAACCTCCTATTACACACCACGCTCCCAAGATGAAGCAAATGCAAAGATTTAAGCGTAGTTTCTGCGTACCCTCACAATGCTCTAAACCCCATCTGGCTGGTGCTACTCTGCAATGATAATTTTCAGACTCTGCTGAAGTCCTGGACTGGACACCACAAAAGCCAGTACAGCACAGTAGAGGTATGCAGGGATCTGGTGTAAATTTACTTGCTTACAACCTACCTGTAACATGATTGCTGGAAGACTGTAGTCCTACCAGTACAGCTCAGCAGTTCAATGGTTTTAATACCACTTCCCTCTTCTTTTCCCCCCGTCATAAGCAAGCTACCCCTCATCAAATATGGACAGCACCTCAGACTTCCGGTCTGCATTTGAAAATAAAGATGGCTTTCTACTTTACAGCCATTTTCCGAACACATGACAAAATGGTTTTATAAGCTCAGGAGTCCAATTTTCATTTGTTTAGCTTGCTGAAGTCTAAACAGTTACACCAGAGATACAGAAACACCTAAGCTCAAATACAGTTGCCTCTAGAAAGAGTAAAGGGATGTTTCTAATGCCTCACAGGGGCAGCATCCAGCACTCAACATCCAGCACACTAAAGAGCAGTAGCCTCCTACCCAAAACAGTTGCTGCAATGGTCTCCTATGAGTAGTTCTTTTGTAGTGGCAATTTTTCAGGTTGCCTGGTTTGATGGAAGACATGTGGTATCATATTTTTACAATAAGCACAACAGGTCATGCAATCACAGTAAGTATTTGTGTCTCTTATTGCCCGAACGCCCAATAAAGTTGCCAGCATTCTGCAAATCATCATAAAACCTGACCTTTTCTTTCATTCCTTGGAATACTTGCCCCTCCGCTCTTCAGAGGGAAAGGACTAATTTCAACAGTCTAGTGTTGATTGCTAAATGATATTTTGTTGTGACACACACGGAACAGGATGTAGACATACATAATGGCTTACATTTAGCGTTACGAGTTACACACGGTGTCTGCCCGCAGTTCTGAATTTTCTAATTTCTAATGCCAGAAAACCAGAATAACATTTAACATACATATATTTATATGTGTGTGTGCATATATAAGTAGACATATATTTTTATATATATATATCTGTGTGTGCATATATACACACATGCCAAGCAACAAGTTCGATTGCTTCAGTTACCATTCTCTGTTCCTGGTTATGCCTGGTGACCCAGAGAGGAAGGTGTACATGTCCCAGCCACTGCTGTCACTGAGCAATCCAGTCCTTCTGCAAAGGAACTACTGAACAGTTCAGGAAATAGGGATTGCTCCGGGCTAGAGGGACGCTGAGAGGACTGAGGCAAGATGCACAGCCTCTGACTTCTAAACTAGCGACGTGAATCATGTCTCAGCTGCAAATAATGTTCACCTGAGAGCACTGCTTGCTTATAATGGATAACAAAGATAACAGAGGAATATGATCCTTCTGCATTCATAAGCAGTTTTGCGTCTGAGCCCCACACAATTATAGTGCTACTTACTTATAATAATGTGTAGAATTGCTCATTGCACATCATCATACAGATCACTGTTGCTCTGTAGGTTTCCCCCTCTTCATATGTTCATGTTTCATCTCCAGGAGCTGTCTTTCTAATAACTTTCTTTTCAATGCATGTCCCAGGTACTTTGCCAAGGAAATGCAAGAAAGAACTGCTGGCAGTAAAACTACGAAACAGACCAAGTAAGCAGGAGCTGGAAGACAGAAATATTTTCCCAAGGAGGACAGATGAGGAAAGACAGGAAATCCGGCAGCAAATTGAGATGAAACTCTCAAAGTAAGTCTATCTAAGAACAGGGAGGAACCTTCCTTTACAATGGAGTGTCCTCTGAGTACTGTCAGATGAGACACTGTCACCCAACCCCCATGGCCGTTTCCTGCGGTGAATCATACACAAACTAAAATAGCACATTTTCAGCTGTCAATCAGTCACATGAAAAAAATCATAACTCCCTCTTCAGTCAGGATTCCCTTGTTTTCAATAGAAAACAAGACAGAATTCAATGTGGGAAACAAATTTCTTCCAAATCTACCTGCAGCTCCACTGATGTAATCAAGATTTTGAGGTCCTCCAGAAAGGCTAGTGCTTTAACAAAAATAATAATACAATTACGTATTAACCTGATTTTGCTTTGTCAGCACTAGATGAATTTGAGGATAAAGGCAATTGTTGTAGTTGCATATTTACTTGAACAAAGGAAAGCCGCTGTATGCATTGGTGGGTGTACTTCTGCTTAAAGGCAGAAGCAACTTCAGCGGCATTGCCTTCGCATGGGTAAGGTGTTGGTGTCAGTCCAGCTGCAGGGATGGCAGGGATGCTCTGGTTTTGATCAGTAACCAGGGCAACAGGGTAGAGCTGTGAGAGAAACAGCACTACTGTGGCATGTAGCCTAAAGCAAAGATTTAAGGTAACTGTGAGGCTCAGACTGCACCATTTGGTTTTTGTGTGTGTGTTTTTAAGAGCTACATTTGGATATCTGCAAACATGAATATTTTAGGTGAGACAAAGGGGATTGTTAAATAATCTGTGCTGTGCCTGCCCACACTGGGACAGTGAGCACTACTCGCCGCCAAAATGCTTGGAATCAAATTAAGAAACATGAACAGAAGTTCATTTTCAAGGCTTATTAAATATTAAATATCTCAAGCCTCTCCTGAAAGAAACATTTATTGATATTTAGGCTAGCTCATTCATGTGTGTGCATTTGATTAAACTTTACCTCAGGGGACAGGGAACGAGAAGCACGCATGTGGATCAGAGCACAAGTCCTAATGGACCAGAGTTTACGGAGGAAAACATCACTGCCATCACCACACTTGTCCTCAGCTGAGAAACGAGCTGCTGAATGAACAGATGAGATTTGGAATGCACTTCATGGTGCCCCTGCAATGTTGGAGATGGAATAATCACCTTCCTTCAGTCTCGGTGATTGCTGTTCATTCTTTGTAGCATGGTAGCACCTTACACCCAAAGGAGAACAGTGCATTGTGCCAGTGACCGCTCAAGACAGAGCAGATGACAGTCCCTGTCACAAAAAACAGATACATCCCATACAACCAGAAAATATCACATTACAATTTACATTAAGTTCCAAGAGTTACAGGCAGAGAAAGTCATAGATATGCCACATTAATACCCATTGTCTTAGGAAGGAAAGTGCAATGGACCTTGACCATGGCCTTGATCATCTTGACCTTGCAAGCCTTGTATATTCATATCAGGGAAATATTTCAAGCTGCACTCTGATATTGTCAATTCCAGTATTTTGGCCAGTCAATTGCTCGTTAAATGTCTTCACAGGTCAGGAGCCTAATTTTATGGCTCTAAAATAAACAAAACTGGTTTCTACCCCACTGCATCCCTAAAAGTTGGACCATAACAGAGTATTCACTGTGCGAGATTATCTCATCTCCAGCCACACCTGATATTGCTGGAATGCCTAGAAGGTCACATCTCTTTTCAACACACCTGGCTTCTCTCAGTGTGAAAGGTCTAATGAACTGCAGTTTCAGGTGGTATAGCTGTGAGTCTTTTCATTTACCATTTAGCTTGCTTAATAATGAGCCTAAAGAATTATTTTAAAGGAGGCATACCTAAAGTCCATTGTCAGTACAAGGACTTAAAAAGGAAACTGCTCTGCTGGTGAAGACAGGGCTGGTCATTACTAGAAGCTGGGAAATGTACTGTCCGTGGGTAAGTGCAGGGAAGGGAGCCTCCCTCCATTCCGTCTGCTGCGGGCCCCTGGAGCAATCGGTGGTGCAGGCTCGTGGTCTCATTGGTAACGTCTAGAGGATGGCTAAAAGCCATCTTTGTTCCAAGTGCTGGAAGACAGGCTTTCACTTAGTTCCTTCCTCCTGGAACGTGGAAGATTCAGCACATCTCAGGGAACAGACGGTGCAGAGATTGCTGGAATAGCGAGGAATGGCAAAACAGATTGGAAGCAATCTCCCACACAACTTCCAGCACATATGTGCCCTGGCAGAGCTCTGCTTAGCTCTTAACTCATCCACCAGAATAGAACATGACCATGCAAACAAGCTCAGGTGGTGGAGGCATGCAGGAAAATATTTACACTGGGAAAAGAAAGTACATGTCCAAAACAACAAAAAAAAAAAGACGTAAAAATGGGTAGTGGCAAAGGCCAAAGAGTCAAAGCCCTGGAGACATCTCTCTGGAGTTTCTGATTAGGACTGACTAGGTCTCACCTCACAAAACCCAGACCACCCCAGCGTAACCTGGCAATAGCGTGGAAGTGTAACCACACCAGGCAGAGTGAAAATCTTGCCTCTTTCAAGCCATTCATTTTACTGGTATTTGTGCAGCATAGTCTCTCCTTCTGTCTTTGTGACAACTTGCTAAGTGTTCAGGTGTGAAGCACTGACTGGGAAATGGGATCCCATAGAAACGTCTGGTCTCTGTATGAATTTTGCCACTACCTGTGCCAATAAGAGCAGGTTGCTGCTGCTGCTGTACTGGTAACGCTTTGATAGCAGCAATGGGACTTGCCGGCTCAGCTACGTACCACATGTACCATCAGGCTACAGACCTGTACTTTAGCACAAAATAATGTACGAGCAGATTAGCCAGTAGTTACATGGCTGTCTGCATAAGAATGGCAAGTAAACAGGCAGTTGTTTTCAAGATCAATATTTTTCAGCACATTTGCAGGGATTTGAAAGTCTAGAGCTGTCTAGCAAATTGCCTCAGTCCCACAGGTAACACAGCCTAGCTCTGTACTCCGGAGGGAAAGCTATGTTGACGTATATAATGTGCAAAATATACCGAATAATAGTGTCTATGTAACTTCAAAAATGGGGACACAAAAGAATAACTTTTTCTCAAAATCACTGTATTTTTAAATGGTTCTGGTTGTAATACATTTCAACAGTAGTTGTGAACCTGCTGAGAAAACCAACTCTCTGCTATCGTGCTGATGGGTGTTTATGCAGTCAAAGCTAAAATCCCTATTTTTCTTCCCTTTCCCACTCATTGCATCTCAGAAGAGAGATTGAGGAATTCTGTTAGATATTTTGGGCCAGATTCTACTTTTACAGCTGTGCAGGTCCTCTGACTTCAGATTTCTTATTGACTGACAGCGGCATGAGTACCGATTCAAGTATTCATTTATGTGCATTGCTGGTTTTGAAAAGTGTATTTCCCATATTTCGCGCTCCCAGCCAATTTAGTCTACCACTTGTCGCCATGGAAACATGCACGTCTCCTTCCTCCTCCATCCAAAATGGCAGTATTCCATTTTCCCCAGATTTCCCTTTCCCGTAGTGTTTTCTCTTACTAATTCATGCATCCCCAGTGCCCCGGGCTGTGGTGTGCACTTGCAACATCCTACTGTGCATTAGGCAACAGGGCTCCCAACAGGTCCTGTTCCCATTATTATGTGTTTGGAGTGCAGATAATAAGCCCTCAATGGAAATCGGTGAATTGAGAGCTCTTTGTGTCAAGAGGCAGAAAAGACATTTGCAAGTACGATTATTTGCAATAACTGCTTTCTGCCTTACAGCCTCACTTTGTTCTAGAAGCCGTTTATGCTGAAACTGGAGGAGTAAAATAGTTGCTAGACTGAAAAGTGACGCAGGAAAAGCTTGTTTAATTAAATTTGGTATCTGACTGTTTAGAGAGTTAATGTTTGAACTGCCTGGGTGGCTGGTACTTCTCAAGTATGCCTTGGATAACCACAGTTAAAGACACTCCGTTATTACTTAATGTTTCAATGAAAACATGAATTCCCGGAAAAGATTATACTTGTAATTTTCACTTCATGTTCTGTTTCACCACCTTGGATATTTGCATAAGTAGACACGATGCATTAAGCAGCACTTAAAAGACTGTGGAGACAGGAATTCAGATACTGCAACATGGGCATCAAAGGAGTCAGACAGGAAGAATGATTGTTTTGTGGACACAGCGGAACCAAAACTCAAGCACCTAAAATTGATCTTTACCACATTGAAAATCTTGGCATGGGTAAGCGGATCACGCTGGGGCAAGGTTTCTTGGCAACGTGAAGTGAAAAAGGAGGCGTCCTTATAGAGTACTTTACCACATCTGGAAAGCTGTAGTTCTAGTGCTGCCCCGAGGTTCTTGGAAAGGCATTTTTGATTTGACTTGCCCAGAAACTGCAGATGTAGCTAAATGCACATCCAGATTAGACCCTGGTTTGTACCTCAGCCTCATGTAACAGAGCGTGAAGTTCACAGTGCTGCTGGAGACAGAACAATACCAAGCAAACAGCACTTCAGATTTGCAGCCTAAAAGCATAAAGCATGACAGTTCAATGCAGAGCAATCATAAAGGCAAATTTTGCCTATTGATGAAAAAAAAAGCTGTGCCCCCCTTCCCAAGAATGGCATGTCCCATGCCACTTCCTCACAGAAACGTCTTAGTGCAGCTTTGCTCACTGAAAAGGCATTGGGCCTCCAGACCGAGAGATTCGGGGGGGGAAACTGGGTTGAATCTACAGAACTTTGGGGAACGTTTTGTTTGATTTTGACCAAAAAGGGGGGGTAGGTACAAACTATGAGTAGGCCCAACACAGAAATTACATAGATACTGAATGGAGCTCAGTTTAGAGACTAGCCTAAATTCACCTGGAGATGATCAAGGTTTTTTGATGAAGCTCCGACTGTGCTCAAACTCCCACTCGCTGAACTAGAAATCAGGGAACTGCCCTGGTTTCAGAAGGCGGGGAAGACATGACACAGATTTATTCCAGAGACAGAAAGGCAGGGGCAGGCACAAAGAAAAGATCAGCTGTCACC